TTGGTATGCTTTGCCCCCGAAAGCAAACCTCAGGAACTCCCTGTGTCTGAGAAGGATGGATACATGGAAGTATGCGTCCTTTAGATCGATCGTGACAAACCAGTCCTCGGACCTGATCTGAGACACGACCTGTTTTACAGTAAGCATCTTGAACTTCAGTCTCATGACTGAGCGGTTCAAGTGACTTAGATCTAAAATTGGATGCAACCCCCCATCCTTCTTTGGAACTACGAAGTACCCGGACTGCCTCACATGAGGAGGGACCAGCTCGAATGGCCCCCTTCCTCAAAAGAGTCACTACTTCCTGTTCCATGACCAGAGCCTGCTCGGGGCCCACCAGCGTGGGAGAAGTCCCGTTGAAAGGAGGCGGAGGAGAACCAAACTGGATTCTGTAGCCTCTCTCTACAGTGTGCAGGACCCATTGAGACGCGTTTGGCAGTAGTTTCCATGCTGCCAAAAAGTCTACTAAGGGAATCAGTCTCTCGAGACTGATCTCTGGTGCAATACGAGCAGCCGGCTCGGTGTCCTGTAACGGCGAACCGGCAGGGAACAACCGAACCTGCTGATCTAGAGACCTCCGCGGAGGTGGCGAGGCTCTTAGCACCGCTACGTTGCCGGGTGGTGACTGAGAGTGGCGCTCGCGGGAGACCGCTGCGCCCTGTAACTCCGGCAGGGTTAGCAGTCCGATCTCCTGAGGGCACTGAGGCGAGACGGACACCGTGTAATGCGGTGCAAACCGCTGCACCCCAGAGGGGACTGCCCTCATATATCCTGGGCCAGTGGCGTCAGGACTTCTTGGCCGAGGACCTCTTAGACTGAAGTACAGTCTGAAGATCCGGCTTAGCCTTAGAGGCCCCCGACCTCGAGCGTCGCCTCGCCCTCGTGCCTCGACACGGGGGAGCACGCGAGGCCACGCTCTGTTTTTGCGCGCCCCTGTGTTCGAAGCTGGTACCCGGAGGAGGCTGCTCTTGCCCAGCAGCCCCTGGAGCTAGAGAGCGGCGAGGGAGAAACCGCTGGAACGCCGCCGCCTGCTTACGAGCCTCGTTGTGCGCAGCGGCTTGGAGGGCAATGCCGGAGCCTTTAAAGACGATGCCACGCCGGGAGACAGATAGCTCGCAAGCGTCTGCTCTCCCGGGGCATCGTCTTATAACCGCGCTCTTTCATCCCCGCCACAGCGCCATAATGATCGGAGGTGGGAACGAAGAGGCGGGCCGAGAATGGCCTTCCCCACGACTTCGACACCTCGGTGTGGAGGTCGGGGGAACTTGGATGAAGGAAAACTTTCAGGCCTGATTGAGGAACTTTAGCTGTGTTGTGAGCAGAATGTCAAATTAACCTGATAGAATGTGCTGGAATTCAAGTTTCAAAGCACATCCTTTTTTTTTTACATTTATATTAATATTTATTTTATTTTTTATTTTATTTTTTGCGAAGAAACTTACCTGCTTTGAGAAAAAGCATGGCGAGCGCAGTCAATATCATAAATGAGGAGGACGGGGACAAACTTGTAAGTCTCACGCAAGGCCATTTCATACATCTGTGAAAGATTGACATAAAAAGACAGCGAAAGCTAGAGAAAAAGAGCATGACTGAAAGTGACTGTGAGGGAGATAATGAGCATGTCTTGCTGGGTACCACATTTTGAACTTTCAATTTTAACACACAGTACCTTGTGTTGCAGCAGTGTTTTTGTACAGTCATCTTTGGACAACTTTTTTTGTGCCATTTCCTCCCATTCAGCTGATTGAAGTTTTTAAGACACATGCTTGAGCCTAGAAATGAAAATAGACTGCAAAAAGGACAAATATTTTACACCAATAATTAATGATCAGTTCTGTCTTTGTTGGATCTTAGTTTGTTATTTTATTATATTTTAAGCATCAAAAAATGTTTCAGTGTCACTTTACTAGTGAATTTCCTCAAAATTACTGTGAAGTATGGTCTATCACAAAATGATGCTACCCATCTAACAGGGAACATTTTCAGAACTTTCTGACAAGTTTCTCTCAAAGTTATGAACAAACATTCTTCCAGTAATGTTTGTTAGAATATCCATTTAAAGTTATCTGGTCTTTTATAACGTTCTTCAAATGTTAGCACAACAATGGTATGTATACATTGCAAATGGAATGTACATTTTAGTTGGGCTTTTGTCTAATATCTTTTAAATGTTACTAGTTTCAGAATGATTAGAGTGACCATTCAATAACGTTCCCATAATGTTGGCAAAATGATAAAACAGAATGTTCCTTTAACATTTGTTTAACCAAGTAAAATATTTTTTAAAACATTTAACCCTTGTGCTGTGCAAAAATGATTTACCTAATTTGGTGTCCCCAGTCAAAAATGATCAGCCTTTTAAAAACGGCTTGTAAATCTCAATGTCACTAAATCTTGGATTCAAACTTTTTGTCAACTTGATTTATTTTAATTAGCATAGGCTTTGTATTTCTTACTGGAACTGATAGGTCGTAGGCCTCACTTATCTGAGCTGGGAAAAAATCCCCAAAAAGTTATTGATTAGTTGTTGAAATCCCCAAAATTATAGAAGGTTTTAGTCTAATGTGATAACATTAACTAGCATTTTTGGGGAAAATAAAATCCTCTCTGGGTCAAAATGACTGGAACACAGCAAAAAAAAAAGAAAACCCCCAAGTCCAAAGACATGATACATAAATTGGAGACACTCAGTGCTTGAAGTGGAAAAAAAGAAGTATGTATATAATGCAGATAGAAAGAAAGAAAATTGTTTAGAGCATTTTTAATATAAATAAGCACCAGTTAAGCTGCGATACATAAACAAGACTACAGGGAGACGTCAAAAGACCACTAAACCTGCTAAACCTGACCCCTAAACCTGACTGTACATGCTACTATACGGATCCGTTCAGAATAACTAAACCACTGACCAGCGCATAATCTAAAACACCTTCAGCCGGCATTCATTATAAAACACTCATGCTTTTAAGCCAAATACATGCTGTAACGAATCAGCTCATGGGGAATATGAATAATTAATCATAACTAGTTATAATTAATTATGAATATTTTAGATCCGCTGTAGATATTTAGCTGACCTCTCAGGGTCAACTGTCTTGTCAATTCTAAGAACGTTAATTTCCTGGTTAAAGGAAATAACTTTCTTACTGTACAATTCTACAAAGCTTGTAGCGTAAATCTGCATGATTAGTGACTCC